CAGGTATCAATTCCTCTTACGTAACTACTAAACCAAAACTCACGTATTAGATTAAAAATAAAACCAACTAAATCCAAATCCACACTTACCTGATGTGAAAATGATGTTTTGCTGCAGGTAACCAGCCGGTAGAGCAAGTGCGCCCCAGCAGCCTCCACATGGGTGTGTTTCTGAGGCTGTGGGCCCTGTGGAGGACTCCGATCCCCCCTCACGCTTCCCTGTTCAAATTGCTGCAGATGCTTTCCTGGACTTGAGGGCAGCACTCACAATACAAGCCCAAGACAATGAAAGTCTATTACTTGGTACAGATGGGGCAACAGACATGGCTTTGGTCACTGAAATTACACAGCACTGTTGGCTATGAAGTGGCCACCAGCGAGAGCGGGAGTGGTGGCCAGAGCCAGGGCCTGTAACTGAGCGTGCTCCGTGGACCCAGGCACTGAGTGGGGACAGCAGAGCAGAGGAGAGCCAGGGCCTGTAACTGAGCGTGCTCTGTGGACCCAGGCACTGAGTGAGGACAGCGGAGCGGAGGAGAGCCAGGGCCTGTAACTGAGCGTGCTCCGTGAACCCAGGCACTGAGTGGGGACAGGGGAATGGAGGAGACTCAGGGCAGTCCCAGCAGAGCATCTCTAAACTAGATGGCTCCATTCAAATGACCAAAATATGTGCCTAGTTTCTTTCTTTTAGATTGCTAGATGGAACTGCCAGGTTATGACCTATTTGTTGAGAACTCAACAGATCTCAAAGGACACCATCAATGTCCTGGAGGCTGTAAACGCCCATTTGAGAAACTTCATGTCCCCATTTTGTATTTAAGCCTTCCTGTCCCTAAGTGGCCAAGAGATCAGTCACTAGAGGTGGTGGCACCAACAAAACGATGCCAAGTAATTTTCCCTACTTGTGCAACACAGACCTATCTGCGGCCTTGGGGAAGGATCTCCTGAATCATTTCCAAAAATTTTTTCCCACAAGTAACTGTCAGCCTGTAGTTCCTAAATAGGTTATTACTTAGGAGCCTAGGCAAAGCTCTTTTTATGGAATATTGCAATATTTTACTTAAGATAAAAATAAGTTTCAATGACCTAAGCTTCCACCTGAAGATCAACAAACCAGAGCCGGGTCTGTTTCTGTACATCCTGGATAGCTAAGAATGGTTTTTACATTTTTAAGAAGTAGTTCCTATTCTGCACAGGCAGTTCTAGAAAACTCAGTGGGGATAATGCTTCCCAACTCAGTCTATGAGTCGAGCATTGCTTTGAAACCAAAGTCAGGTAAGGCCATTACAAAAAAAGAAAACTGCAGACCAATACCCTTCATGAATACAGACACAAAAATGTTTAATAAAAAATCAGCAGATGGAATCCAACAATGTAGAAAAAGAATAAGACAACATGATCAAGTGGGGCTTACTGCAGGAATGCAAGGCTGGTTCAACATCAGAAGATCAGCCATTCATCATCTCAACAGATGCAGAAAATGCACTTACCAAAGTCAACATCTATTCATAATAAAAAAAACTCTTGGCAAATTAGGAACAGAAAGTGAGTTCCTCAATCTAACAGAACATGTGCTAACTCAGACCTATAATGATGTAATATATGCTAACTCAGACCTATAATGATATAACATGTGAGAACTCAGACATGTAATGATATAATGTATGCCAACTCAGACCTACAATGATATAATATATGCTAATTGAGACCTATAATGATGTAACATATGCTAACTCAGACCTATAATGATATGATATATGCTAATTCAGACCTATGATGAAAGACTAAATGCTTCGTCCCTAAGATTGTACAGGTCCTTACCGGTACAATTAGAGAAGAGAAAGCATACTGGGAAGGAAGAAAGGGGAGGGCAAAAGGGAGAGAGGGAACAAAGGACAGACAGAGGGAGGGAGGGAGGCAGGGCGGGCAGGTGAGAGAGAGAGAATAAAAATAAGCAAGCAGTCACTATTCACAGACAAGATGATAACCAACATAGAAGATCATAACAAATCTACAACATGGTAAGAAATCTAATAAATGAGCTTAGTGAGGTCACAGAACATACGGTCAATATATAAAAGTCAATCATATTTCTAGACAGAAGCAAGGAACAACTGAAAATGGAAAATTAAAACAGTACCATTTTAAAAAGCACCAAAATAGGCCAGGCAAGGTGGCTCTCACACCTGTAATCCCAGCACTTTAGGAGGCCAAGGCAGGCAGATCACCTGAAGTCGGGAGTTCAAGACCAGCTTGACGAACACGGAGAAAGCCCATCTCTACTAAAAATACAAAATTAGCCAGGCGTAGTGGCACATGCCTCTAATCCCAGCCACTCATGAGGCTGAGGCAGAATTACTTGAATGCAGGAGGTGAAGGTTGCAGTGAGCCCAGATCACGCCAGTGTACTCTAGCCTAGTCAACAAAAGCAAAACAAAACTCTTGTCTCAGAAAAAAAAAAAAAACCACCAAAATGATGAACATATAAGATCTGGACACTGGCCGGGCGTGGTGGCTCACGCCTGTAATCCCAGCACTTTGGGAGGCCAAGGCGGGTGGATCACAAGGTCAAGAGATGGAGACCATCCTAGGTCAACATGGTGAAACCCCGTCTCTACTAAAAATACAAAAAATTAGCTGGGCATGGTGGCACACGCCTGTAATCCCAGCTACTCAGGAGGCTGAGGCAGGAGAATTGCCTGAACCCAGGAGGCGGAGGTTGCGGTGAGCCGAGATCGCGCCATTGCACTCCAGCCTGGGCAACAAGAGCGAAACTCCGTCTCAAAAAAAAAAAAAAAAATCTGGACACTGAAAAGTACAAAACACTGATGACGGGAATCAAAGATGACCTCAACACATGCAGAGATGTGGCGACTCTCTACTGTGAAGGTGTCTGTTCTTCCCAGGCAGTTCTACAGATTAGCGCAACTCCAACGAGATCCTAGCAGGATATAGTTGTAGAAACCAACGAGGTGACTCAACAATGCATATGGAAAGGCAGAAGTCCTAGAGCAGCCAGCACAATTTTGAACAAGCTGGAGGGCGCCCCAACCTCACTCCAGACCCAGAAGAGAGCAATGGCAATCAAGCCAAGGAGGAACTGGTGAGGGCAGAGGGCCGTGCAGAGGAACAGAAGAGACGGACACTGGACGAAAGAAGCAAGGCAGCTTGGTGGGGGGGGGGGGCAGGGGACAGAGTCACCTCCACAGCACCCTAGTGTCCGTCACCAGCTGCCATCAGGGCAGCTATGCTGTCCTGGCCCCAGGCTACAGCTCTCAAACCCAACAGTCCTGGCAGCAGCTTCCTGCGCCCTGCCTTCCTGGACAAGCAGAGGCATGTTCTGAGGCCACTCCCCTACAGCCCCATTCTGGGTCCTTCCAATGACCCTCTCTGCAATGGGTCTCACCTGAGTGGCTTCCACTTCCCACACTGCTCCCCCTGCAACTGACACAAAGGTCAAAGAGCATGGGGAGTCTCCAAGAAACAGAGCTGCACACCTATGTCCACAGCACTATTCACACGAGCCAGACCATGGAAAGAACCCCAGTGTCCACCTACAGACAAGCAGAGGGACAAAGTGCATAATGTGCACAGCACAAGACTCTTCGGCCTTCAAGAGGTAGGATGTGCCAACACACACTACTACACAGATCAGCCCTGAGGGCTCTGCTCCTGGGGAAATAAGCCAGTCACAGAAGGACCACGATCAAGTGATTATTCTTCTATGGGGTCCATAGAGTAGTCACACCTGTACAGTCAGAAAGCAGAATGCTTAATGCCACTGAACCCTACACTCAAAAATGGCTAAGACAGTAAATTGTATGTTATGTGTAGTTTACCACGATCAAAAAATAACAATAGGCGAGGTGCGGCGGCTCACACCTGTAATCCCAGCACTTTTGGAGGCCAAGGCAGGCCAATCACAAGGTCAAGAGATCGAGACCATCCTGGTCAACATGGTGAAACCCCATCTCTACTAAAAATACAAAAATTAGCTGGGTGTGGAGGATGCGCGCCTGTAGTCCCAGCTACTCAAGAGGCTGAGGCAAAAGAATTGCTTGAACCTGGGAGGCGGAGGTTGCAGTGAGCTGAGATCCCACCACTGCACTCTAGCCTGGCGACAGAGTGAGACTCCATCTCAAAAAAAAAAAAAAAAGCAATAAGGCTGGCGCAGTGGCTCACACCTGTAATCTCAGCACTTTGGGAGGCAGAGGCAGGCTGATCGCTTGAGATCAGGAGTTGAAGACCATCTGGCACACATGGTGAAACTCGGTCTCTACTAAAAATACAAAAGTTAGCTGGGCATGGTGGTGGGAGCCTGTAATCCCAAGTACTCAGGAGGCTGAGGCAGGAGCATCCATTGAACCCAGGAGGCGGAGATTTCAGTGAGCTGAGATCTCACCACTGCACTCCAGCCTGGGAGACAGAGAGACTCTGTCTCAAAAAATAAATAAATATTTATCTGGAAGAGGTCTCTCCCTGTACCCCCAATTCTTTTATTTTAATTACATTTTCAGGTATTAAAAAATGTTTCTAAATTGAGGATTCTAACCAAGGATATTAAAATGTTCCTTTCAGAGCCTCTGATACAGTGAAGGGAAATCTTGATTATGAAGATGGGAAAAAAGGGCACAGACTGTTGATGCCCCAGGGCACTTGTACACTTCAGCATCCTGAGATTTGGTGGACCCTCTCCAGCCCCTTTTCCTGATTGCAGAAAGTTGAGATGAATATGACATGCCCTGTTGAAACCGTGCTCCAAAGAGTTAAAGAAATCAGTAACTAACAGAAATTCTTGAGTTTGCAGAATTGGCAGATGAGAAATGACTTGCTGAGATGCTGAAAGCCCCTCTGCTTACAAGACAAAGAACTGGATGAAATCACTGGGAACTGCTATGGCCACATGGATTTGTGCAGAACAAGCTTGCTGAGGTCAGGCACCCCCAGATTTGCATGTGGTTCCCATAAGGAGGCGAGAAGGCAGAACCAGCCAGGTCAGAGGACTGTCTAGACCTCTCCTTTCCTTCCACCAATCACCTGCTAATCCCAGAACCCATCCCTAAACCTTTTCCAATGCGATTCCTGCCTTCAGTCCAGCACAGGGAGAGAGACAGATTTGAACTGGACTCCTGTGTCCTAGGGAGCTGAGATAGTATCTCACTCTGTAGCCCAAGCTGGAGTGTAGTGGCACAAACACAGCTCACTGCAGCCTCAACCTCCCCAGGCTCAGGTGATCTTCTCACCTCAACCTCCTGAGGAGCTCGGACTACAGGTGCACGCTCCTCAGGAGGTTAATACCTGGCTATTGAAATTTTTTTTGTAGAGGTAGGATCTCGCTGCAGTGCCCAGGCTGGTCTCGAACTCCTGGGCTCAAGCAATCCTCCCAACTGGGCCTCCCAAAGTGCTGGGATTACAGATGTGAGCCACCGCGCCCAGCCTGGAAGTTGACTTTCCATGACAAGCTTTTCTTTTCTTAAAAACCCAGCGTCATAGCATCAGCTTCCAGCACATGGCTACAGGCCCCTTTTGCTTGATAACGGTTTCTATGGAGACGTCTGTGATGCCACCACTGCTCCCAGGGGCCCACAGGACCTGGAGCTCTGGAAGCTGATCCTCCCACTGACCAACCAGCAGGTCTATGCTCAAGGCTGTCTTTCCCTCGACACTCCAGCCAGGCTGAAGAGAGGTCCACGGGAACAACCAGGGCTGCCCTCATTTAGGTCCTCATTCAGGCAGCAAAGCTCACTCCGTCTGTGTGTCCCACACCTCATGTTACCTAGGGATGCCAGCGTGTCTGAGAGGCACAGTTCAATGTCCAGCTCGATAGCCAGGGGCCTGGCACTCCTCCAGAGTGTGGTGGCCAGCCAGGATGCCCAGTGCCCAGAATGGAAACCGCACCAAGAGCCACCCGTGCTCAGCAAGTCGGCCCAGACCATCAACCACTACTACGGGAAGATGGTATGGACTCCAGGGAGGAGGGCTACCATGGGCTTGAGATGACCTGCTTCTCCTGCTCCCCAAGGCCCCATAGAGCTGTCAGCCCACAAAGCATTCCACAGGCTCTCTGCTGATGGGTTATCCAGGGGGGTTCCAGGCAGGCAACGAACTGAGCGCTAGTGGTAGAAAGAGCCCTGCGGTTCTCTCCCTTTCTGCAGGGCCTGGTGCCCTAGTCCCCACATGCCACCAGCTTCTGGGTTAGCTACTTTGGGTCGGTCCTCCCCTCTGCAGACCTTGGCTCCCGGTCTCTGGTTGGCCAAGGGAGAAGATGCACAGTTTGGCCCAGACTCCCTGGGCACATCTTGAAAAGGAGACTGAATGGGGGAAAATGGGGAAGGTGACCTCAACAGACAGGTTAACTGTGCCACCATGTGCCGGGGGAGCCCGAGATGGTCACCCCAGCTCCTGGCAGCTTCCAGGTGCATGAATTGCCTGGACCCAGTGGACTACAGTTTTTAAAGTGGGTCTGGGTGGCTCTTGCTGAGCATCCAGTATGCGGGAGAGGAACAGAGGGGACACACCGCTGCCGCCCACACACACCCAGGCCCTTTCAAACCCAATGGGAGTGTGGCTTAGTGCCTGTGAGCAGCAGCGCCTGGTCGGTATGGTTGGTGAATCTCAGCCAGCAGTCAGGCAGAAGCAGGTCCCCCAAGTGTCTGGGCTTCAGGCTCCCCAAGAGGCTCTAGGTAGAGCAGCCGGTGCTCCAGGACCAGCAGCGGTTATGGGCAGGTCTCCGAGGAGGTCTGAGGGGCCACATGGTGTCCTGAATGTGGGATTTGTGTCTACATGCAGCTCATAGGCTCCTGCCATCAGGGTGATTTGTGATGGTTTAGGGGACACAGTGTCTGCCCTTGGTGTAGGGCTAAGGGCCCCACAGGGTCGTGGGGTGTCCCTTATGCTGTGCTGAGGCACAGGATCCAAGAAATAGAGACAGGACACAGAAGCACAAAGAAAGCGCAGCTGGGCTCAGGGGGCCATATCACCTATAAGTGGAGACAGGGGAGGCCCAGAATGTCCAGAAGCATGAGTATTTATTGTGTATAGGTTAGGGGGCAGGGCAATGAGTGAAGTCATCTTTAAGGATAGTGATAGGGTCGTGAGCAATAAAACAAGGGGTCCACCCCCATTAGGTCACCTAGGCCAGGAGGTGGACGGCGGGCAGCAAGGGGTCCATTCCCATTAGGTCATCGAGGCAAGGGCTGTGTGCAGTAAAGGGTCTACCCCCGTTAGGTCACCGAGGCATGGAGGTGGGCCATGTGTAGTGAAGAGGGTGCAGTGCACAATACCTCTATCTATGGACAAGCTACTAAGATTTATAGGAGGATGCTTAAGTCACACAACGCTGACAGAGCTGTCAGGGTCTACCTCCACTTCCTGGCAGCTTCCAGTGAGTTCTATGGGAAGATACTTTTCCAGCAGCACAGTGACAAGAGCTGATACGGTTCACAGTCACCAAGGTGCGATTATCCAGAGGGGTTTTGAGCCCTTGGATGCTCCAGGGATTGCCTGTCTGAGGGCAGCCTTCCACAAGAACTGGAGCAAGGTCCTACAACTTCTTTATCAGGAGGAGTGGCTCTTGCCCCAAGCCTGCCATACAGTGGATATCTTTACCACACTGAACGCTGCCACCTGGGCCATGGGTTCTTGTCCTGGTATAACTGTTTTCCCTTAAATCATGCTCTGCACTGTGTCTGCTCCAGACATTCCTCTGACCTATAAGCTGCTTATTCCTTAATTCATGCTCTGTACCATGTCTGCTCTAGGCATTCCTCCGACTAAGATATAATTATACACACACACACACACACACACACACACACAGGGAAATAACTGAGTGGTAAGATATTCTTCAGGCACTCACTCTATGAACTAATATATGATTATATAAAGGATTATATAAAAGGAAATAACTGCATAGTAACACTATAAACTGAGATATTCTCCAGACACTAATTGTGCCAGGGTTCTGCTTAGCTCTCCTTCCTCGGTGCCCATATGGGGGGTTACCCACACTTGGATGCACTGGCCTAGAGTCGGGGGCCTCTAGCACCTGCCTTTATTTCCCCTCTCTGCCAGAGTGAGCCCAATGACGCCGCCAGCCTCACAGGCTTCATGTCCGAAATGGAGGAACTGCGAAGGCTGTTCCTCAAGCGCCCTGACTGCCCCCAGTTCAGCACCAGGGCCACGTCCATTTCCCATTGTGGTAAGATTCCCCACCAGGGCCACCTGTGAAGCTGCCTGCCTTCCTGTCAGAGTCAGGGGAACCAGGGAGGCTTTCCTGCCCCCTTTCAGCCTGTGAGCAGCCACCAGAGTTGGCCTGTATGGTGGCCCCAGCTGCTGCTTTTGAAATCTACCCAGTGCACAGGGAGCTAGGGCAGCAGTGAAGCTAGGGGATGGAGGGAGGCTGGGGGTGGAGGGAGGCCAGAGGGTGGAGGGAGGCCAGGGGGTGGAGGGAGGCCAGGGGTGGCAAGGGGTGGAGGGAGGCTGGAGGTGGAGGGAGGCCAGGGGTGGAGTGAAGCCTGGGGTGGAGGGAGGCCGGGGGTGGAGGGAGGCTAGGGGTGGGTGTGAAGGGAGGCCGGGGGTGGGGGTGGAGGGAGGCCAGGGGTGGGGGTGGAGGGAGGCTGGAGGTGGAGGGAGGCTGGGGGTGGGGGTGGAGGGAGGCCGGGGGTGGAGGGAGGCCAGGGGTGGGGGTGGAGGGAGGCTGGGGGCGGAGGGAGGCCGGGGGTGGGGGTGGAGGGAGGCTGGAGGTGGAGGGAGGCTGGGGGTGGGGGTGGAGGGAGGCCAGGGGTGGGGGTGGAGGGAGGCTGGGGGCGGAGGGAGGCCGGGGGTGGGGGTGGAGGGAAGCCAGGGGTGGCGGGGGGGGGGTGGAGGGAGGTGGGGTTGGGGGTGGAGGGAGGTGGGGTTGTGGTGGAGGGAGGCCGGGGTGGCGGGGGGGTGGAGGGAGGCGGGTTTGGGGTGGAGGGAGGCGGGGGTGTGGTGGGGGGTGGAGGGAGGGGGGTGGTGGGGGATGGAGTGAGGCGGGGTTGGGGTGAAGGGGGTTGGGGGATGGAGGGAGGCAGGGTTGGGGTGGAGGAAGGCCTCTTCTGGCCACTGTGCTGATGATTTGTGTCCCCAGCCATTTTGCTTTTTATGCACCTAAAATTCATTAGGGCCAGGGGCTAGGGGAGTGGAGATGGTTGAATGTTGTGGAAGCTTCAGGAAAGAACCCATAAAGCCAGATAGCTCATTAAGAACAGTGCCCCCAGGGAGCCCCAGCAGCCATCCTGTCCAACCCCTCACTGATGGGAGCAGGAGGCTGGGAGCGGCAGCTGCTGAGCTCTGTGGTCCCCTGGGGACCCTGCCCGAGCTAAGGCTCATCCCAGCATCTGCTCCTGGACCTGGGCTTGTCCCACATCCCCACACAAGATGCTGTTTTTAGGGATGGCAAGCTGGAGCCTAGTTCCTGCGACCAGTAAGCAGGGCGGGGTGGGGGGTGGTCAGCTGGCAGAAGGCAGAAGGAGGGCTCCCACCTTTCTAGGCTTCAGCTAGAGGGTCTCTGTGGGCGGTCAGTGCTCCAGGACCGGGGTGGTTATGGGCGGGTCTCTGGGGAGGGCTGAGGGCCACACGGTGTCCTGGGCATGGGGTCTGCATCTACATACTGCTCATAGGCATCTGCCACTGGGCCGATTGCTGACATTTAGGTGAAACAGGGTCTGCCTTGGATGGGCTGGTCTGGAGGCAGGAGAGCCTCTGTGAGACTTTCAGGAGGTAGGTTTTTACCCAAGGAAAATGGGGTCTGCCCCTCCAGGGGAAAGGAGGCCTCAGCTGCAGAAATTCGGCCACACTCGGGTCTGTTGAGGTGGAGACACCAGGGAGGCAGGAGGATGAACCCACCCTTCGGTTCAGCCCCATTGCTCAGTCCCACGCATCCACGAAAAAAGCCACCTGTGCCCGCACCTGCTGCTTATGTATAAATAAGAGTCTCTGCCTGGGAGATCTGGGGAGATGAGACCACAGTAGTCACCAGATGGCATCTTCAACACCGCAAGGTTCACCCACCGAGGCTGGTTTGTCCGGGGAGCTATACCGCAGCTCGGAGACCTGGAGGGGTGCCCAGGACCTGCTCTTGGCCAGGCGGAGCTCAGACACGAACGTGGACGGTGAGGGAGTCCCCAGGGCCTCTGCCTGCAGCTGCTGGGCCCCTGAGCTCGAGGCCTGCTTCTCAGGGCCGCTGCCCATTCCCCGTGGAATTCCCTCCCAGGACTGCCCACCTCCTGAGGGCTCACACAGCAGGGTCCTGTGTGTCCTTCTACAGAACTAGCCTGCCTTCCCTGACAGCTGAGGCTGCAGCCCCGTGGGGCCCTGGCTCCTTGTCTTTAGTCAAATTGCAACGTGTCGCCTTTTTTGCCTTAATTGGAGGAAACCTAGAGTCAGTAGTGACCAGCTCCCCTTGGGCTCGGTGAAAGTGGAGAATCCCCTTCCTTCCCTCAGTTTAAACATGGGGAAACTGAGGCCCCAGGAGGGGACAAGCAACCGGCTGTGCAGGGACAGCATCAGGATGACCCCTCATCCTGACTCCCAGCTCTGGCCCCTTTGTCCTGGCATCCTGGCTGGAGCTTCCATGCCTTTCCTCACTCCCTCAGCACACGCGCAGGGAAGGGTCTATTTCTCACCTGTTTCTCACTCGGCCTCTGCGGTCACCGCAGGGCGCCTCCTCCCACACAGTAAGAGTGCCTGTGAGCTCAACTACTTTCGGAAAAGGAGCGAATCCCAGACTCTGAGTCCGGTCACCAGCAGCTCAGTCGCATCCCAGAGCTGCCTGAGAAAGAGGACGCCCTGGTACCTCTTAGCCATCCACGAGAAGGTACTGGCAGAGGAAGTGCAAATCCCGGCCCTGCACTCCCTCGCTCTGCATCCGGCTGGCAGGGCAGCCCTGCCCCATGAGGGCTCTTGTTCTAGTATCTGGTTAGCAGCATCCAGCTGGTCCCCAGATATGGCCTAAAGTGACCTCCAGACCCCCTGCTTTGACAAACTTCCTCACCCCTGTCCATCCTCATCCCAGCGGTGGCAGTTACACTAGGGGCTCGCTGGCACATATGACCTCCGACCAGCCACACAGCTTTGCGCCCACAGACTCCGCTTGGGAGAATGTATTCTAAATAATAAGGAATGCCAGCTTGATTTATGTAGGAGTGATTCACCGCAGTGTTATTCTTTTTTTAAACCTACGTTAATAAGAAAGTCTGACCTATAATTTCACTATCTGGTAATTCCCTCATCAAATTTAAGTATCAAAGTTATTCTGGCCTCATTAAAAAAAAAAAAAAGACAAGGCTGGAAAACCATTCCCTTTTTTCTTTCTTTCTTTCTTTTTTTTTTTTTTTTTGAGACAGGGTCTCAGTCTGTCACCCAGGCTGAAGTGTGGTGGCCTGATCACGGCTCACTGCAGCCTTGACCTCCCTGAGCTCAAGCAATCCTCCTACCTCAGCCTCCCAAGTGGCTGGGACTACAGGTGTGCACCACCACACCCGGCTAATTTCTGTAGAGACAGGGTTTCCCCATGTTGCCCAAGCAGGTCTCAAACTCCTGGGCTCAAGTAATCCACCCACTTTGGCCTCCCAAAGTGTTGGGATTAGGGGTATGTGCCACTGCCTGGCAAAGAGTTTGCATAAGATTGATGTCATGTCTTCCTTAAATTCTGAAGATGTCACTATTGAAAGCATCTGTGTCTGGAGACTTCTCAGGACCGCTTTTATTTTATTTTATTTTATTTTATTTATTTATTTAGAGAAGGAATCTCACTCTGTCGCCCAGGCTGGAGTTAAGTGGTGCAATCCCAGTCCACTGTGACCTCTGCCTCCCAGGTTCAAGGGATTCTCCTGCCTCAGCCTCCCGAGTAACTAGGATTACAGGCACACACCACCACATCCGGCTAATTTTTGTATTTTTAGTAGAGACAGGGTTTCATCACGTTGATCAGGCTGGTCTTGAACTCCTGACCTTGGGATCCGCCTGCCTCGGCCTCCAAAAGTGCTAGGATTATAGGTGTGAGCCACCACACCTGGCCTTTATTTATTAATTAATTTATTTAATTTATTTATTTTGAGATAATGTCTCACTTTGTCACCCAGGTTGGAGTGCAGTGGAGTGATCCCAGCTCACTCTTCCCAGGGTTCAAGTGATCTTCCCACCTCAGCTTCTTGAGTAGCTGGGACTGCAGGCTCATTCCACCGTGCTGTTAATTTTTTCTTTCTTTCTTTTGTAGAGACAAGGTCTCTTCATGTTGTTCATGTTTCCCCTGAACTCCTGGGCTCAAGTGATCCTCTTGCCTCAGCCTCCCAAATTGCTAAGCGGTATGAGCCACCACACCAGCCCCCTACAGGAGTACTTTTAAAAATCACAAATTAGGGCCAGGTGCGATGGCTCACACCTGTAATCCCAGCACTTCAGGAGGCTGAGGGGGGCGAATCACGAGGTCAGGAGATCAAGACCATCCCAGTCATGGTAAACCCCATCTCTACTAAAATACAAAAATTAGCCAGGCATGGTGGTGGGTGCCTATAGTCCCAGCTACTCAAGAGGCTGAGGCAGGGGAATTGCTTGAACCCAGGAGGCAGAGGTTGCAGTGAGCCAAGATTGTGCACTGGACTCCAGCCTGGACGACAGAGCAAGACTCTGTCTCAAAAATAAAAATAAAAAAAATCACAAATTAGGCCAGGCGCAGTAGCTCAGGACTGTAAGCCCAGCACTTGGGGAGGTGGAGGCAGGTGGATCACGAGGTCAGGAGTTCAAGACCAGCCTGGCCAACATGGTGAAAGCCCATCTCTACTAAAAATACAAGAATTAGCTGGGCATGGTGGCAGGTGCCTGTAATCCAGCTACTCGGGGGGCTGGGGGGGGGGGGGCTGAGGCAGGAGAATCATTTAACCATGACCCGGAAGGTGGAGGTTGCAGTGAGCCGAGATTGCACCACTGCAGTCCGGCCTGGGCTACAGAATGAGACGCCATCTCAAAAAAAAAAAAAAAAATCACAAATTCAACTTCTTTAAAAGATATCTAGATTTTCTTTTTCTTCTTGTTTCAGTTTTGGTGTTCTGTGTTTTTCTAGGAATGCAGCTATTTCATATAAATTTTCTTATTTCTCAGCCTATGGTTATACATGGTACAAGGATAATTACTCCCTTTACACAATGTGGACGGGTAACAGCCTCTTTCTCATTCCCAACCTGGCTGCCTGTGTCTCCTCTCTCTTTTTTCCCCATTGGTCTTGCCGGAGACAGGGTTTCACCATGTTGGCCAGGCTGGTCTCAAACTCCTGACCCCAGGTAATCCCCCCACAGTGCTGGAATTACAGGCATGAGCCACTGCTCGGCCAACATTTAGTGGACTTTCCAGTTATTTTTCCTTCCAGAATATTCTGTTGGGATCATTTTCCTTCCTCCTGAAGAATTCCCTTTAGTATTTCTCTAAGCTCAGATCTGCTGGTGACATTCAATTTCTGTTTGCCTGAAAACATCTTCATTTTTGTCTTTAATTTTGAAGAATTGAGGGAGTTGAGATTTTAAGAACAAAAGTTTGAGGAGCTCCCTGACAAGCCCTTAGAAAAGCTTGGCGGGTGTTGCCTGTTAAGTGTGGAGGCCACAAAGAAGACTGGCATCCTGGCCAGGCGCGGTGGCCCACGCCTATAATCCCAGCACTTTGAGAGGCTTAAGGCGAGCAGATACCTGAGGTTGGGTGTTTGAGACCAGCCTGGCCAACATAGTGAAACCCGTCTCTACAAAAAAAACAAAAATTAGCCAGGCGTGATGGCACATGCCTGTAATCCCAGCTACTTGGGAGGCTAAGATGGGAGAATCGCTTGAACCTGGCAGGCAAAGGTTGCAGTGAGCTGAGATTGCACCACTGCACTCCAGCCTGGTGACAGAGTGAGACTCCATCTGGAAGAAGAAGTGAGACTTCATCTGGAAGAAGAAGAAAGAAGAAAGAAGAAAGCAGAGCCTGTAATCCCAGCACTTTGGGAGGTCGAGGCGCGTGGATCACAAGGTCAAGAGATCGAGACCATCCTGGTCAATATGGTGAAACCCCGTCTCTACTAAAAATACAAAAAAAAAAAAAAAATTAGCTGGGCATGGTGGCGCGTGCCTGTAGTCCCAGCTACTTGGGAGGCTGAGGCAGGAGAATTGCCTGAACCCGGGAGGCAGAGGTTGTGGTGAGCCGAGATCGCGCCATTGCACTCCAGCCTGGGTAACAAGAGCTAAAACTCCGTCTCAAAAAAAAAAAAAAAAAAGAAAAGAAAGAAGAAAGAAGAAGAAGAAGGAAGAAGAAGAAGAAGAAAGCAGAAAGAAGAAGGAAGAAGGAAGAAGAAAGAAGAAGGAAGAAGACCGGCATCCTGTGTTGTAGTGCCATGGTGAGGACAGCCCATGGACTAGGTCCAAAAGGGAAGCTGCCTCGAATCTCCTCGGATGAGGATTTAGGATCCGCTCTTAGGACAGGGGCAGAGGCACTGGAGGTGCCAGACATGGTTGCACTAAAGAGCTGGCACATCATGATTTCCACTAGCTCTTTACCACAGTACATATCTTGAAATCCCTGAGACCCTGGGATTTGGGAGTCCCAGGACAGCAGATCTGCTCCTCCTGAGTGGGCTGGGGACAGGTGGGGGGACAGTGTGTGGCTGCATGGCCCATGGGGTTGCCCCTGGTTTTCTCCCCAGGATCACTGCCTGTCCAAGCTGGAGATACAAGTTCAGAAGAAAGATGAGGAGATCCTGGTGCTCCAGGAGGAGCTGGAGGCCCTGAGAAAGCAGCTGAAATGCCCCCTCAAAGGCAAAGGCCAAGAGACATCCATGTCCTCAGGCCAGAAGGTGAGCCAGACCCAGCAGCCAAAGCTGCTGGTGACATGCAGGCCGCTGGATGCTCCCAGGTCCTGGCTGGAACTGGGGCGGGGCCTCCGGGTTCTGCTCGACAGGCCGGGGAGAGGCAAAAGGAAGCACGAAATGGGAACGAGAGCCGTGAGCCGACATCTAGACACCTGCACTTGGCCTCTGACTTGCATTCTACCTGGGCCAAGTCACGGCACTTTCAGGGCTCAGGGTCTTCATCTATAAAATGGGGGCTGAGCTCACCTCTGAAGTCCTGGGGCATGGAGACCACCCACAGGTGGATTCCCCAGGCCTTGCCATGCACGTTGTGGGCAGTGGTAGCTTAGACTACCCTGCCCTGGCCAGGAACCCCTTCGCCCACTCTGTCTCTGGTTGTGAGGCCCCCTGTGAGGCTGGGGTAGGTGGGTGGGGGGGATGCTACCCCACCTCTGGGTCTGCGCAGAGGACTGGGTGAGGCGGGTTCATGTTGTGCGCAGGGGCGGTCACCTGATCTTCCTAAGACCCCATTTCTTTCATACCTGAGGACACAGCCTGAGTTTTTGCTGGGGGCCAGAGATGAAGTGGGGACCAGGGGAGGGCCTCTGACCTCCAAATGCCCTGAATGCCTCAAGGGAAGGCTGCCTAGACACAGAGGGCGGGGGCAGGGAAGGGGCATCCAGGGGCTTCCACTTTCTGTCCTCCCTAGCCTGCTGGGTGGGCGTCTGAGGGGGAGCACCCAGGCCAAGACATGCACGGTGGGCGTGTCTAAGGCTGGCTCCCTGACTTCTAAGGCCTTGTCCCTTACTGCAAGGCCACTTGCTGGGGGCTGCTCTGGGGGTACCTAGAGCCCCACTGCCCCCAAATGCATCGACAGGTTCTTGTGCCTTCCACTGCCACAGCACCCACATCCCCCAGCCCCTCGGCAGGAAGATGCAGGTCCCCTCCCCAGACATGAGAGGCCACTGTCCCATCAAGGACAGGCCATGATGGTCTGTCCCTGGGGTGCTGCAGGAGGGGTGGAAAGCTGAGGGTCCCACGGGCATCTTGCAGGAGCGGTCCTCAGACGCTTCGCTGAAGCTGGGCAAGCTGAGCCTCCTGAAGGCCTTCTCCAGAGATGAGGAGGAGCTGCAGCGATGGTGGCAGGTGCGGCCCACCCGGAGAGCAGGCATGCAGGGAGGGCCCCGGCCCAGGAGCCACATGGACGGCTCAGCTAAGAGGCCCAGGCCCCAGGTGTCCCCCTGCAGCCCTGACCTGGGGTGCCCCCTCCAGGGGAGCAGGTGAGGTGGGTGGGCTGTTAACCCTCTTGAAGGCACAGGTCAGGTACAGTCTCTTGACCAAGGGAGGACCTGTGCCTGAGGCCACAGTGCCTGGGCCGATGCTGGTGGCCTTGCCAGGCAGATGCTCCCCCACTCCCTGGACCCTGTAGCAGCCTGGAAGGAGGCACCCTCCCCGGTGCCCCACTGTGAATATTAGATGTCCCCGCCCTGGGGGTGCCCTGCAGCCCTGCCCTGCCCCCACCCTTACCCATCTCACAGATGCAGGAGGAGTCTGCGGTGCCGCCAGAGAGGGGCAAGGAGCCGGACTTGGGAGGCAGCGAGGATGAGGGCCTGGAAGGGGAGCGCAAGGGGGCGGAGGATGTGGGCGCCGGAGGAGGTATGGGCCGGATGGGGACTGTGCAGGAGGAAGAAATAGAGGAGGAAAAGGAGGAAGGGGATGGGGAGGAGGACTCAGAGGAAAGGGAGCTGCCGGAGGACGACGAGTTCCCCAGGAGAAGGGCCTCCTCCCTGGCCAAGTCGTTTGAGGAGGAGCTACTGGCCCAGCTGGAGGAGTATGAGCAGATCATCCTGGACTGCCAGTTCAAGCTGGAAACCACCGGAACCAGATATTGCCTTGCAACAGGTGGGCCTGGGGGCTTTGGGCTTTGGCTTCACAATGAGTCCCAGCCCAGGGGCTGTGAGGCCCAGAGGCGGCCTGCTCTGGTCAGTGGGCTGGAGCAGGTGCAGGTGTCAGCAGCCTCACCCAGACCTGCAGAGCGCTTCCAGCTGGCACGGTGGCCCGGCCCTCTCCTTCTGTCCCTCATTGCCCTGCTTGCTCTTGCTCACCGCCTCTGCCTCTGCCTCTGGGCCCAGGAGTGATCGCATCTTTACAACAACAATTGGATTTCCAAGAATCACAACTGCGAAAAGTCAATTCGGAAAATGAGACGCTGCAGAAGGAGCTTCGAGAGCGGAGGCAGCAGCTACAAGCTATGACCGACAAGGTGGCTGTGCACTTAGGACCGGCCTTCGCTCAGTGAGCACGGGCCAGGCTTGACTAACCCCCAGCAGCTCGGGGCATGCGCCGGCCATCCCATCTACTGATGGAGACTCAGCCTGGGGCATCCAGGCAGCTGGCCCAGGGCTGTGTGACTGATAGGGGCCCACCGGGATTCCCCCAGGTGTGTGGGAGGCCTGAGCCCACATGACCAGCCACAGCTCTGCCCTGCCCCTGGGCTAGAAGCATGAGTCCCTGTCTCCTCAGACGCTGTGCTCTTGGCCACTCCTCAAGCATCTCCCGCCCCTAAGTCCTGGGGGTGAGAACACCCTCTCGGTGATTAGAGAGACTGCTACTCCACTGAGCCCACGATTGTCGTTTTTGTTAAGCATTTTACGTTTCTATTGTTATCCAAGTTATTCATGCACATCACTTAAAGAATCAAATAGTTCCACGAGGCTTGTCATGAAAACCAGGAGCCTCTGACCTTCTGCCTCTCATTCACCCTCTCCTAAGGCATCACTTTCAACTCTTCTAGTACATTCTTTAGGAATCTATCTCCATATCTCTAAATAGCATGCTCATAATGTGCCCATTCTAGATTTTTCTCCATCTTAACATTATTTAATGCTTCATTTTTTCCTCCCCTGCCACCCCCCCAACACCCACAAGGGCACTCTTTCCACCCACCCTCCTCCCATATCATTCTATTACAATCCATGTCGCACTGACATCAGTAGGACAGTTATTTGTCGCATGCACACATAAATAAATTTTACAGAGCAGTGCTAAGATTCATAAACCACAACTTTGAAACTGCTGCATCCATCTCTTTTGCTTTCTTGCCCTTTCCACTTATTTTGATGGAGCACATCCTCCAGTAGTTTTTTTCAGAAAGGAT